AAAACGAAGAGAGAGAGGAGAGAGAGAGAGAGAGAGAGAGGGAGGGGATCTTCCCCTCCGGAGGACGCCGCCGTGCAGGGCTCCGCTGGAGCCTCTCTGTCTGCCTTGCCAACCTCCACCGCGTCGGTGGAGACTAACTGCGTACCTGTCAGACTCTCTCTCGCGTTCTCCAGCCTGTCTTTGAGCGGGCCCTGTGCCTGCACACACTCACACACACACTGAAATATATATATATATATATAGGGAGAACGGGTGCGTGTGTGGTGCAGCATATTGCACATGTTACACTTTCACGCGGTGCAGGCGTCGGTGTGGGGCGGAGGTGACGAGGTGACGTGTGCGACCCTCCCACCTGCCTGGCGTCACGCTTCACGCGCGCCATCGTCCTGCGGCCCACCCCAATTTGCCTCCGCGGCGTCGGCGGCTTCCAGCATGCACGCAGAACAAGGGCGGGAGGACGTCCCTGGCGTTTATGCGAGGCTGGTGGGGGTGGAGTTCATTGGCTCTTGCTACGCCTCGGGCTCGCTGCAGGAGACGGTGTTGGCGTTCCGCAGCTCCGAGCGCACGGGTGCGTTGGATGCGGCGGCAGCATCCCCCGCCCCCGGCGACAGTGGCGCGTGCGGTGACGGGGCGGCGGTTTCGGTGGTGTACTTTATGGCCCTCCTCGTGGCCTCCTGCAATGGAACCGACACCTCCATTGAGGCGGTGCGCTGCGCGTTCTGCGGCGCGGCGGATGACGGGGCTGAGCCGCACGGCAAGAGGGAGCCGGCGGGCGACGCAGCGGGCACGGCGCCACCGTCGCCCCGCACATTGCAGGAGGCGTTCATGGACCGGGAGCCGGACCTCCTGCTGCGGCGCCTGTGGGACCTGCTGCAGCGCGGAGCCCGCTCACAGGAGCCGAAGATGGAGGGGGCTCCCCCGTCCCCCACCGCGGCGTCGGCGTCGTCGTTTCAGCTCATTGACCGCACGCCGCTGCTGCTCCGCGCGGGGGTGATGGACGTCGTGCAGGCGAGTCTGGCCATGCCGCCATCGTGCCTGCCGGCGTTGGCGCCCGCCGGGCAGGGGACTCATAGCCGCGCGGCCGCAGGGGCGGGAGGCGGCCCTCGCGAGGGGGTGGCGACGCACGGGTTGATGTTGTCTTTCACGGAGCGCCTGGACGCGCGGACGGCGGCGGCGGCGATGCCGGAGGGGCGGCAGCGCCACCCGCGACGCTCCTTCGCGAGTCTGCGACGGTTCCTGCAGCGACGCACGGACGCCGCGGCCGCACCTGCGGGAGAGGCGGCGTGGGACGTGGCCCCGCACCGCTACTTTGTGTGGCTGCACGTCGTTGGCACCGACCTCTTTTACGAGGCGACCGTGACGGAGAAGGTCGGCGTCCCGCTCCCCACCCGCCTCGCGAGCTCCACGACGCCCTGCAGCGTCCTCCACGAGCACGCGAGTCGCAAGACGGAGGAGACGGATCCACTTGGGCAATGGGTGGCGTCCACGCCCACGCCACGGCAGGCCTCCGTGCAGAGTGAGACGCCGCCCGGGGTGGCAGCGCGGCTCGCCGTCGCCGCGCTTCCAGCGAATGCCTTCTGTCAGGTGGGGTATTTTCTACAGCGCAATGCGAGCGACGCCGCACTGGAGTGCGGCGGGCGAACGATTACCGCCACGTTTCACTGGATCTCCGCCTGCGACTACGCCAAACAGGGACTGCAGGTGAAGGAGGTCTCGTACGTGCAGGAGGGCGACGCCGCGGCGTCTGGTGCAGGCGTCTTTGGCTTCATTAGGCGTAAAGGCGGGTCGCGCCGCCAGCGGCAGCGCGCACGGAGGTGTGAGGACGGGCAGCCTGCATCGTCGCCTCCCGCCGTCGTGGCGCGTCGGCGAACGTTGGAGGTGCGGGCGACCGCGCAGTGGAGCCTGGCGCAGTACCCGCAGTGGCACCACTGGGACCCGGTCACGCAGCGGCTGTCGTTTTGGGCGGCCTTTCGAACGTACGATAAGCTGCGCATCGTCGCCTTCCACGGACATCCCGATAAGCGCTGCTGCGAGTTTGAGCGGAATCTGCCGCGGCGGCGTCACAACTTTGCCTCCGCTGCCGCTTCCAGCCCTACTTCTGCGGGCCCGGCACACCACGACGGCGGCGGCGCAGAGGCGACAAGCACGCCGCCGCGACCGCTCGCCGTGGCACGCGGCTTCGGTGTGTCCGGCGCCTGCAACGACGCTCCTCGCGGCGAGGCCCTCGGCAGCGGGGCGGCACTGCCGGAGCCGTGGGGGACCGCCTGCTGCTCCGCCCTCGCGCGGCTGCACATGACAATAGTGCCCGTGCAGTACGAGGACGGGGCGCGGGAACTCATGCTGTGTGAGCAGCTCTTTCTCTCCTGCGAGGAGAGCCGCACCGGTACGTTCCTCGCGGCCGCGCGAGCGGCGACGCAGGAGCTCGGTCCCCCCGCAATACTCTGCACCATCACGGCACTCCGCAACTGCGTGGACGCGGTGAGGGTCACCGTTCCGCTCACGCCCGACGAACGCCGTCGCACCACCTACGACACCCGTGTGACATTTTTCTCCATTGCTGGCATGATTGCGATTTATTTGCCCGGTGTGTGCGTGCACTACGTCGATGTCCACCACTCGGACGCCCCGCCGCGTTATTTGTTTGGTGTGCGCCTGCGTCCCCCAGCCGGAGCCCCCGCCGCGACGCCGTCGCCGCTGGTGTCGTACCTGCCTGTGCCGTTTGGCCGCTGGTTGTACGTTCCCGGCACAGTGATGCTATTCGAGGCCGCCCTCCACCCGTCCTCCGTGTGGCGGTTTATACGACGCTACTTGATATGCCGTTGGCTGTGTCGGGTGCGGGCGAGCGGGATCCCCGCGGTCGGCGGCGCCTGCATCTCCCCACGCGGCGGCGAGCGACAGGAGCTTCCCAGTGAATACTTCGATGGGGACGCCCCGCAGGACTTTGTGTGGCGGCGCCGGCCGCAGGAGGCCCCTGCAGCTGCCGCCTTTCTTCAACCTGCCCCGTTGCATTTCGCGGTGCATGTGGCCCTCACGCATCTGCAGCCACCACGCGCAGCGGGGGAGGACGAGCTCGGCGTGGACCCACCGCCGCGCCGCCGTGACCCCGCGCCGTTGCCGGGCGCCGGGCCCCACCCACCGGCGTCAGCGTCGTGCCTTGGCTGGGAAGGGGCGTGGGCGGCGCGGGATGCGCAGCTGGAGAGCGTCTTTGCCGCACACCTGTCCGCGGACACGTGGCGGGACGTATCTGTGGAGTTCCTCTCGGCGCTCGTGCTCAGTGAGGCGTACGCGCGTACGCGTCTTGTGTGCTGCTGGCGTCCCGCACGCAGTCGGAGGGAAGGCGCCGCAGAGGCCAACGGCGGCAAGAGAGACGCCCCCGCCAGCGCGGCCGAGGCGCTGGGGCTGCGCAGCCCGCACTTCGTCCGCCTGCCGCTCTGGGACCCCGCCGGGTTGGCGGCGGCGGAGGCGCAGTGCCGTCGCGAGGTCGCCGCGTATTCTCGCGCCTGGCGCCACCAGCAGCAGCAGGGGCAGGGGCAGGATGAGGAGGAGGAGATGACGCGCACGGTGCCTCTCGGCGGCGGCTTGCCCCACGAGGGCGTGAGCCCCGCGGCGACTGCCTTTCCGCCGCGGGAGCGGAGCCCACTCGCCACGTCGCCGCCCCCACGACAAAAAGCAGCAACAGCAGCGGAGGAGGGAACGACGGGAGCAGCGTCAGCCGCCCGACGCAGAGCGTCGTCGGAGGCGCCGATGACGTGTCCCCGGCGGGATGTCTCGTGCTCGCTCCAGGCGCCCGTGGAGAGCGGCAGCGGGTTTCTGCCCGATGCGGCACCGACTACGACGGCGTGGTCAGGTGGGCGGGGTGCCGCGCAGTCGCGGCTTCGCATGGAGGGCGCGAAGGAGACCGCCGTGCCTCCGGCGCTGCTGGTGCGTGCGGTGAGTTATTGTGGCGCGGCGGTGGCAAGGCAGCAGTGCCACAACACCGTCCCCGAGTGGTGGTTGGCCCACGGGGTCTGCGTGCAGCCGGCGCCACCACGCTCGCCGCGTACGGCGCCGCATTTGCGCCTGCTCTTCACTTCTCGCAGCACGCCAGACGACGACAACAACGGCGCAAGAGGCACCTCGCTGCTTCGTCGCATACGCGACGCCTTTACGCACAGTCATGGCAGCCATCCTCCCAGCACGCCAGTCGCCTCGCTACGCTCCGCTTCCTCCTTCTCCGCCTGCTCGGGAGCCTCAATGAGTTCAGTGGGGCGTGTGGCATTGCCTGCGTTTCCTGCAGCCGCCTCTGCCGGTGGTGACTCGTGTGCCGCTGGCACAAGTGAGGGGTTAACCAGCAGCGGCGGCAGCAGCAGCAGCAGCAGCGGCAGCAGCGCCAGCATACGAGGCAGCGGCAATTCCACAGGCTCGACGAAGTTTGTATTGTCCTCCGCCTTTTGTGCGCCTGCGGACTCCCGCGCGCCGTCGGGAAGTGGGGAGGGCGGCGGCTTCCCTGCCACCAAGTTTGCGCCGCCGCCGCCGACGACGCTCCCACACACGCAGTCGGCGGCGTCCATTGGAAGCTTGCCGCCTCACACGGGCGGTGCCCCGGCGTCCACTGCCGCGCACCCCACCTCAGCCCTTGATGCGCCCTCGCCGGATCGAATGAGACATGCGCCTTTTGAGGGACCTTCGTGCGGGGCGCCGTTTGCGGCGGCGGTGCTGGAGCAGCTGCAGCTGTTGCTGAAGACGTCCCCCGCCGGGCACGCGCCGCGGCCATCGGAGCAGGCGTCGCAACATTCTCCGCAGCGCGGAGATCGGCGTGCCCCGGAAGCGCCGTGGAGTTCGCGCTTTTTGACGCCTTCTGCCGCGTCTTTCTTCGCCTCGTTACTGGCGGATGGCGCGACACTGAGCACGGCCGCTGCGGCACACCTGGAACTTCTGGCGCTGTTGTACGACGCCGCCGTTGCGTCTGTCGTGCACGCGCTTGTGCGTATTGCAATCTTGTCTCATCCTACTCCTTCTTCTTCCCCGGCTACTTCCGCCGCCGCCGCCGCCGCCGCCGTGAATTCAGCTGCTAGTTGCAGTCAAGGCCACGAACCCGCGGCCTCAAGACGGGGACGGGAGGACGGCGCCGGAGGCGTGTTGGCACGCTGGAGCTTTGGGCAGCGGCTTGCCTTGGCGCTGGAGCGGCTTGGGGTGCCGCCCTCGCTGCAGCTCGTGGAGAGCCTCGCACGCGAGGGTCTGCGGCGGTTTCCCGCGCGCGCCGTCATCGCCGGGCTGCGGTGCGGGGCGCTTGAGGGTGTGACGCTGGCGCTGCTGCTGCGGCACCAGCCTGCGTTGGCGGCGCTGCTGCGCGAGCACGTCGGTGCCTGTGCCCCACAGTTGAGTCGCGAGTTGGGCCTCCTCCCCGCCCCCGCCCCCGCCGCCTGCGCGCTGCACGGTCTTCTGACGCCGGCGGAGGAGCAGGCGCTGGCGGAGACCACGCGGCGGGCGCTCTGCGGCGACCCCGCCACGCCCGCGCCCAGCCGGAGCGGCTACAGAGACGCCACCGCCCCCGCCGCCCTGGCGCTGCAGCCCGCCTTTCTGCCACGCTCGCAGGCCCGCATGCTGCTCTCGCGCCTCCTCACGCACGCCGCCGCGGCGCCGCAGGAAGTGACGCTCCCGCGCGAGGGCAGCGAGGGGGTTTTCACGCAAACCGCACCACCGCGTGAGCAGAAGCGGCAGCTCATGACCGTGCTGGACCCGGCGCCTTACCTGCAGCGCGGCGGCGAGAGGAGCATCCCGCCCGAAACGGAGTTTGCCTCGCCTTTTCCACCGTTTCAGTGGTGGTGGCAGCAGCGCGCGGCGCGGCGGACTCGCGTCCACAGTTTCACCTGCCGCGGCACGAATGCCGCGGACGGCCGCAGCAGTAAACCCCTGTTTACGACGCCAACGAAGGTGGGTGCAGTGGCTGCGGCGCCGTGCACGCCCTTGCCGTCCCCCGCCGCGCCGCTGCGCGCGGGTTTGCCATTCGACGACAAACACGAGCCGGACACGTCGAGGGGCACCGGTTCCCTTCTCTCACTGTGTGAGCCGGCCTTGGCGTGGAGCGCGGACGGCGACGGCGGGGTTTGCCACCCAATCGAGGAGGCGCAGGAGGCCGCCACGGCGGCTGTCACGGCACTCCTCCCGCAACTCCTCGCTGCAACCCCGCTGGGGCCCACGGTTGCGAAGGAGCGGGCCAAAGCGGCCATGTCCATCGCACTCGACCCGTTCTTTAAGAGGGACTGACACTCTGTTGAGCAGGTCGCGTACACACATCCCTCTCCCTCCTTCTTTCCCTGCTCTTCTCTCTCTCTTGCTCGCCGGGGTCATACACGGAATGTACGCCATGTAGTGAATAAAGTTTTCCATGAGCGTGTGCTTTTAAAATTAATTTCCTTATGCTTAGTGTGTCTTTTCCTTCTTTTTCCTTTTTCCTTTTCTGCGCGCTGGGTAACACGCCCCTACGGGGGAACCCCGATAAGCGACGGAAATGGCGAGAAGAACTTATTCTGCTTCGTCTTTCCCTCCCCCCCCCTTTTTTTTTTCTGCTGCTCATGCAGTTGGCTTTTGCGTGGCACCTGCACGCACGCTCCACGCCATTCCCTCCCCCTCCCTCCTGTTGTGTGTTTTTCTGTCTCTTTGTGTCGTCCGCTCTGCGCGGTTTCTGCTCGCCGTGCTTCAATGCACGTGTCTGCTGCGTCTCTCTCTAATCGTCTTTTTTTTTTTTTACTTTCTCCCTCCTCCTCCTCCTCCCTTGACGCGTCTTGTGGGGCGGGTGTGGGGGGTGGCGCCGCACACGTGCACCCCGGCCCCGGCAGCATCGCCAAAGCAGGAGAGAAGAGGCGGACGCGGGGGGAGGGTAGCGGCGGGTTGTTGCTTGCCGTTCTTCTTCTTCTTGCCGCCGCTGCTGCTGCTGCTGCTGCTATCGTTATTGTTATTGCTGTCGTTATCGTCGCCCGCGGCCGACCGCAACCGGCGAGGAGCAAACGAACCGAGGAAGTGGCTGTGGGGTGGGAGGGGCACTGCGACGGATGCTGCTCTTCCACAACGCGGCGCAGGTGGTGCAGGTGGTGTGCGGCGGCGAGCGTTACGTGGCGGGGGCGGCGCAGAGCAACCGCGTCGCCGTCGTTCCGCACGGCTCCCTCCTCGTCGACACGGCGACGGGGAACATCGCGGCGGTGGGCACCAACGACGAGGTGCGGGCCTTCGTGGCGGCCCACGACTGCCGCGTCGCGGAGACGGTGGAGTGCGCCGGGAAAGTGCTGCTCCCGGGCTTCGTCGACGGACACACCCACCCGGTCTGGGACGGCGACCGCGCCCACGAGTTCGCGCTAAAGCTCAACGGCGCCAGCTACATGGAGGTGCAGCGCGCGGGTGGCGGCATCGGTTTCACCACCCGCAGCACCCGCGCCGCGTCCGAGGCGGAACTCGCCGCGCTGCTGCAGAGGCGGCTGCAACGCATGCTGGCCTTCGGCACGACGACGGTGGAGGGGAAGAGCGGCTACGGGCTCGAGCGGGAGACGGAGCTGAAGATGCTGCGGGTGCTGAAGCAGGCGAACGATGCGGGGCCGTTGACGGTTGTCAGCACCTTCTGCGGGGCGCACGCGGTGCCGGAGGGGAAGACGGCGGAGGAGGCTGTGCGGGACGTGGTGGAGGTGCAGCTGCCCGCCGTCATGCAGGAGCGTGCGGAGGGGAAGAACGATGCGCGGAACATTGACGTCTTTTGCGAGCTTGGCGTCTTCGACCACGACCAGTCGCGGCGCATTCTGGAGGCCGGGAAGAAGGCGGGGCTGCAGGTCAACTTCCACGGCGACGAGTTGTCCTTCGTCGCCTCCGGCGAGCTCGCCGGCGAGGTCGGGGCGCAGGCCGTCTCCCACCTTGAGCAGGTCAGCGACGCGGGCATCGCCTGCATGAGCAAAAAGCCGACCTTCGCCGTGCTGCTCCCCATGACGGCGTACGTCCTCCGCATCACGCCGCCCCCCGCCCGCAAGCTGATCGACGGCAACGTCCCCGTGGCCCTCGGCAGCGACTTCTGCCCCAACGCCCACTCCCTCTCGATGCCGCACACGATGAACGTGGCGTGTGTGCTGATGCACATGACTGTGGAGGAGGCGCTGGTGGCCGCAACCATCAACGCGGCGGGCAGCCTGGGCCTCAGTGACCGCTGCGGCAGCCTGGAGGTGGGCAAGTGGGCCGACGTCGTCGTGCTGCAGGCCCCGCGCTGGGAGCACGTCGTGTACCAGATGGTGGACCCCCCCATTGAGGCGGTCTACAAGAAGGGCAAGCGCGTGTACCACAAGCAGTGGCCGTAGCCGCCGCGGCACGGGCGCCACCCACGCCTCGCCTTGTACGGCGGCAGCAGCAGAAGAAAACAAAAAGGGAGAGGGGGGAAGGAAAAAGAAAAAGAAAACGAAAGAAAAAGAAAAGAAGAAGGAAACAAACTGGGTGGGGTGCTTGCAGGCCTGCAGGCGGGAGGGCGCAATCGGCGCCGTGAGTAGACTACACGCCCGCCACACACATCATGACACGCACCGACGCCCCGCACAACGGGAGGGACACGTACAAACAAGTATTATGTTTACACATGTAAATATGCGTGCGTCTGTGTGACACGCAAGGCAAATGCGACGCACGCCGGAAGTACACACAGTCATGCAGCCGAGGCGAAGTCAGAGAGGGAGGTGGAGGCAAAAAAAGAGAACAGCAGCAACTTGTTATTCACACCGGCTTGCTTGACGCGGACGGCGGCGGTCGACGAACCCGGCACTGCACAAAAAGCCACCAAGCAGGAGAGAGTAGAGCGAAGAGGAGAAGCGGAGGCAAAAAAAAGGGGGGGGGAACAAGAGGAAAAATATGCAACCGAAGGTGAACAGACACAAAAAAAAAGACGAAAAAGGAAGGCCGGGGAAGAACAGAAAAAAAGGGAAGGAATACGAAGAGGCTAAGGGCACCTGCTAAAGTGTCGTGAACCGGCGGTGGCAGCAGCGGCGGGGCGAGGGAAAAAGAGGATAAGCTCAGGAGCGCCTTGCGTCGGTCGGTCGGTCAGTGGGCGGTTTCCGCACTACGGAGTCCCGCCGTGCATGAGGCTTCTGCCACTCCTCGCCGCCAGCGTCAGGCAGCAGCCGCAGGTGGTGCCCTTTGCCTGTTGTGGTTTATTTACTTATTTTATTTTATTTTATTTTTTCTCCTGTGCACCGCTGCTGCCGCGTGTCTCTCCTCCTCCTCCTCCTCTCCTCCTCCTCCTCCTCCCTCGCTGTTAACTACACCCCATTTATTTTTTTCTTGTTTTTGCCGCTGGCTTGCTATTTACTCTCGCGGTTCCCTCCTCGCTTCTTCTGGGTTCGGCTGTGACGTGCCTTGCGGTCACGTGGCGGGGGTGTTCGCGGTCCCCCTCTCATCTCCGCCCCGCCAAGACGTCTTTTCGTTTACTTTTTTGCTTGTACGTCTTTGTTAGTCACTCGCACTCCCGCCGTGACTCTCTCGCTCTCTCACTGTCTCCCTCCCAATGGGACCGTGCGCCGCGGCGGCGTGCCAGGCCAGTTTCCCTGCGGGCCTCACGAGGCAGGCGCCGCCGCCGTTGCGTCCCGCCCTCGCCTTTCACCTCTTCCTCCTCTTCTTCTTCCTCCTTTTTGCCTCCGCGCTCAACGGAGGGGAGCGAGAGAGAAAGGAAAAAAAAAAGAAAAAGGCAGTAGGAGAGTGACCGGAAGCCCTCGTGCCCTCTCTTCCTCTTCCTCTTCCTCCGCCCACCCACCCGGCCGGCCACGCGCAGCCGCATGTCTACGGCCGTGCGCCACGCGCTCCGCCGCCTCGGCGCGCCACCGACCATCGCCGCCGCCGTCAGACACGCCGGTTGGCGGGGACGGGCGCCTCCGCCGCCGGCAACACCCGCGTCGGGGCACGACAAAACGGCCGTGTGCGAGCCCCGGCGTTGGTTGTTCAAAAACCAAAAGACTTTCCCAGTCGGCGAGGACGCGCGGCTGCACGCGGACGACGTCACCGTGGCGGAGAAGAACCGCAAGTTGTTTGCCGACGCCGCCGCACACGAGGGCCCGGAAGCGTCCGGGGACGACGCGGCGATGCCCACCGCCGCCGAGCTGGACAAACTCCTGCCCTCAGCCACGCAGCTGCAGGAGGAGATTCCCTCCGCTGCAGCGGTACGGGAGGCGATGCGGAAAGGCGGCGACGCCGCAATGTGGCAGAACACCGGCGAGGATGAGGAACCATGAGGGACGAAGGTGACGCCCTCAACCGCCCACGTTGCCCCCGTAGGGTCCCAGTTTCTTTTTTTTTTTTGGTCCCGCATTCCCCAGTGAGGTGCCCGGCCATTTTTATATCCAGCCTTCATCCCCCACCCACCACTTCCGCCCGCTCAAAAAGTGCGGCTCACGCCAGCCGCCTCTCCGAACCCCTGCCGCCCCTTGCCTGTGCGCCTCCGCAGCCTTGTGTGTGTGGCGCACGCGGAAGGACGTGTGCCCGCCGCTCCGCCGACTCCCTTGCGGCTTGACGCGTGTGCCTGTCACGCCTCGCCCCCTTCTGTGCCGCCTCTTTCCCTTTGCCCTCTCTCCCCCGTCCCCGTGGCGTGCTGGCGGTGGTGGCGGATAGCAACAAGCCAGGGAGCAAAATCAGCCGGTAAAACAAAGGTGATTCCTCGTTCGATAACTAATTTCAATGTCCTCGTCGACGAAGCAGTATTCGTGGGAGCGCGTGCTGGCGTGCTGTGACTCCTTCAAGGGGACGCTCACCGCGTGCGACGCCGGCCTCGCCATTGAGCGTGCGTTCCGCGGCTTCGAGAAGGGCGGTTCCGCTCGGGTGGATGTGGTGCACTGCCCCATGTCCGACGGCGGCGCCGGCCTGCTGGACAGCCTGCTCTTTCCGGACCACTCGCAGCTGTCGTCGCCGTACACCTTCACCAAGGTGGAGGTG